ATGCTGACCAGATGTGGATGCCACAAGAGCAGAGAATGATATAACAAAAGTTGTTTTCTGTGCATTAAGCTCCATGGATCACACCCGGCCTACAAAGCTAGCTTTGGCAATGGCCAATTGTAATTGTTCCCACCAGAAAGAGAGATAATCCTGGGGACTACCAGACCTTCTTAAAAGCAGGTTGTTGAGAACATCACCAGCAATTGCAGCCCAGTGTGCAGCCGGCCATCACACAGGGTGCTGCTCCTGCCGCCACAACCACTGTTACCATCACTGCAGCCTCTCAACATGACCACACCTATCAACAACTGTTACCAACTCCATAAGCATGCAACTGATTTGACCCATTACCGCAATGCCAAACTGACTACAACCCATCACCTAGGCAACCCACCACTGTCACTTTGGCCTACTCCACTCATTTACAAGGTATTCTCTTTGAAGTTGCCACCACACCCCCATTCAACAGAATAGGCATACCAACAATGCCAATCTGACATCACCCCTGTTCCATAGAAGAGGCCTACCAACCAATGAAAACAGTGTACCACCATAACCTCGATCAACCAAACATGCACCAACCATATTCTGTGACCTCACACCAAATCCACACAAGAATTATGTCAACTCTTGGTGCTACCCTTACACCCTGACAATACACTAGAAACAGACACTCCACCTATCTTTCAACATCTTTGTTCAAAACAGCAGCATATCAACTTCTTATGGGTCATCTAATGCCAAAATTTAATTTTCTTGGGTCCATTAGGAACTTCTTTTACAAAATGTACTGTTAGTAATATTTTTTTTTTTTAATTTTTATTCCCAAAACTTATTGTTGGTAATCTTTTACTATTAAAATGTATTGCTGATAATTTTACTATAAAATTTTTTAATACTTTCATAGTGTTTTGACCCCAGCACACTAACAGGTGCTATCACCCTGGGTCAAGGTGAACCTGGGAACAACAGCAATTAAGAGGTGGTTCCAAATGTAGGTTTATCGTCATACCCTAGATAGAAAAAATTATCTGAACCAATTTTCCTAGCAGTAGGCTTAGCAATTGATTCAATATAATCTCTCCACTCTGATTCTTTGTGCCAAGAATGTGCAAAATCACTCTTATGGAGGTTAGCATCAAATAATATCTTTGTAAGAAAGACAGCCACAGTGCAGTAGGCTCATCTTACAAATATTTGTTAAAGAGTTCAGACTATACTGATTAAAAATATAATCATACTAAAGTCATCCTTATCCAACAAAATTGCACACACACACACTGTACATACAGAAAAAGACGATCATATAACTGATTGATAAAATTATTATGAAGAAAATTTGACAAAGATTTGAAAGTAATTGTAATTTGTTACTGCCTTGTTGGCCAACTGAAAAGTTACTTTAATTATTTTGAATTCTGAAAGGAAAGAAAAAGAAAATAGTCTTGATTCTTTTGCAGTCTGTTTTTTATTCATTTTTATTTGTAATCAAGCCTGATCTTCTTTGGAGCCTGCAATGACTTTGGCAAACAGTGACTAGCTCCTTGTTTGTCCAGAGGATTGAACAATTCCAACTGTAAATTCTTACAACAAGGTCAGCATCAGTAAATAGATTTTGCGTGTTGTTGACACAACTTGTTTTATGTAATAAAATCTGTTTGCCACACCAGCTTTTATTACATGCAGGCATGTTACAAAACAAAATGGACGACAAAGCAAAGCAGCTGGACATTTTAATCAAAGAAACATTTTTTTTTCCTTTGTTTTAATTAAGAATTACAAGAACAGCAAGACTGATTAAGTGTTTTTCTTTCTCATTATATTGTATGAAAAAATACAATGAGTTAGGAAAGAAATATAAGCATGAATAAATGGTATTTACAGATTTTTCTTCTGAATAGAAGACGGAAACATTGGAAAGAATGAGTGAATAAATGAAAAATGGAATAAATAAAAAAAATTAGGAGACAAGAAATGTTTAATGCTAAAAGGCAAAGAAGAAGCAAAGAATGAAATGAAGAAACAAAGAAAGAACTAAAAACAATAACAAATAGCATATGAAAACAAAATTTGGAATGAACAAATTAAAAAAACAGAATGAAAGAGAATAAAAGTAAAAATTGAAAAAAAAAAATGCAGAAAATAAAATAAAATGTATATAAAATTTGAAAATTAAAGAAAATCCCCAAAATGGAATGAACAATTGAGAATTAAAATTTTAATTGACTTTATATTCATCAACATTTCTTTGGGTCATGTAATTCTATAATTTCTTTTCATGTTACCAAATGTTCCTTTCTCCACTAACAGATAAATCTGCTTTTGAACAGTTCTTGACATCATTTCCTCCATCTTGTTTCTTCTCATTGCTTTTTGCTGATTCTTAACCTGAGCTTTCTTTTCCATTCAAAACATTTGTTAAAATGTTAGTTATAAGAGGCAGATATTTTTCATATCCATTTCTATGAAGTTGTACAAAGATGCAAAGGCAATGCTATGCTTTTGATGTTCTTGCTTGCTTTAAAAATTACTGCAAACCTCAAATAATGACGAGCATAACCAGACAAGAACAATGAATATTCTGATTGATTTCTCGCAATGCATTCATAGACAATGTAAAAAAAGTCAATAACTCAGAAGCAATGAATTAGAAACAATGCAAGCTTTGTGTTAGGTTTTATAATTTAACTTGTAGCCTTGTAATATGAACCAACAGACAAAATCACCAAGAGAAAGATGAAAAATGGAACCTCTGATGGCAATAGAATAAAACCTAAAGTTAAAGGAAGGAAAATCACAGAATAACAGTCTTTTTTTGTCTGAATTTTGCTATAAGGAACTGTCAACATTGATAATTTTAAACTACTGTTCTCGTCTTTATTCAACCCAAATAAGACAAAATACTTGTATGAACGGCAAACTATACTGAACATAGAGAAATAAATTTCCTAAGTGAGATACTTTTATCCATAAATATATATGCACACATATCTTCATACATACATATATTTCACACAAACACATCCATACATACATACATACATACATACATGAACATTTAATTTTTCTTCAACTTTATTTCTCTAGACTCTTTAAAAACTCTCTTTAACCTTTCTAAGAAGGCCTTTTCATTTTACTTAATTGTTACCATCATTGTTATTAAACCGTGCACAAATTTGTTCAATGATGTTATTCTATTCCCTTTTTGGAGCATGTGAAGGATCGTTTGATCTTCCTTTCTCTTGCTGCCAGCTGAAACATCATTTCCCCTTTCCTCTAAAAGGGATTAGCTGTAAACATGTTCATTCAACCATCAAAACAAGGGCAACAACAGTCAGCAACAGCTTGTGCAATAAGTTTTATGATCATCTAGGGGTCAAGACTTCAATACCTACATCAGGTAATGAAATCCATTAACACAATCAATTAATACAAGATATCAATTATTAGACAAAAGTGATACCTGAAAACATCTATGTGAACAAAGCAAAGTAGATAAACAAAAACTAAGTAACAAAAAGTTAAGAGATGAAGAAAAAATAGCTAGAAAATAGAAAGAAAAAAGTATAATTTTTTAAACTAAAAGTGAGTGGTATTCATATATTTTTCAAAACAAAATTAATTTGAATTCTGATAAAGACCATATCACCTTTACAATCCTGTCTTTAGGAAAGGTATGAATCCAAATTCTAGTTCTGGTTTGGTGCTTCGGCTGTATATTTAGAGATTCTTGATAAAATGCAAAGAATCTGCAATGTTATTGATCCTGACCTGGCATCTCTGTTTCAGTGACTTTCCCACTATAGCTTCCCTGTAATTTTCCTCTATGGTACCTAGACTTCATGAATTTAAGTGCAGTACTAGATTGGCAGCAAGGTTTCATCATTTTAAAATTGAAATGGCTAGATGTAACTGTAAGTTCTATGCTAAGAGTTTCTTCCATTCTACTTCTTACTTGTGGAACTATCTTCTAACTTTTTGCTTTCTGGTCAACTTTGATCTTCAAAAAGTGCAATATCAGTTGTTATTTTCAGTTTTCCTAATTCTTGTTCTTTTATTGTCCTCTCTCCAAAATAGTATTTTTTCTCATATTCTCTCACACTAACCCCTTGCATCTTATTGGTTTTATTGCCTTGCTTGGTGTGAAATGATTAAAAATAAAAGTTCTGTCCTATCTTTAGTCAAGTTGACTATAGTCTTGCCAGTGACTTCTTACAATAGTAATTCACAGTCAGGTCAGCAATTTTTTCTTACTCTTAGTACTCTGAAATCTCATACTACCTGCATCTTAGAAAGTAGATGGGTGCTTCCCATGTACACTGAATTGCCATAAAGGATAAGGGATCAGAAAATGATGGTTCACTCAATTATAACAATTCAGTGAGGTCTTCTCATCTCAAGAGACATTTTTTTAAATAATTTCACAAAGAAAGTTGATGAAAAATAAAGAGAATATGAAAATGTTGAATGAAAGAAAAAAGTAGGAAGAATAAAAAAAAAGAGCACACACAGATGCATACATGGTGCATTTACTTACACCACAGCACATCAATGAAAGGCTTTACATTTGGGCACTCACTCCATACAACCCAAATAAGACAAAATACTTGTATGAACAACCAACTACATTGAACACAGAGAAAGAAATTTCCTAAGTGAGATATATATATATATATATATATATATATATATATATGCATGCTTAAAAAATTCACATGAAAGAATTACTGCTCAATTTGTTTTCTATGACTTATCAACTCTTAGCAGATTCTTAAAACCAAAAAGTATTTAGACCATGAGAATTTTTTTTTCAGGTAATAATGATTTAGTGATACAAGTCTTACTAATTAACCCATAGCTGGGGGAAAGAGAGGTGGATTTATACCTTTCTCAAGGGTATTTGTGCATAATTGAATATAACAAAACCAACTGGAATTGGAAATCGGCTCTCCAGTTAAAAATTTCAAGCCATTAACCATTACTCTATCCACACATTCAAGCTTACAACACTTGGTATTCCCAAATGGTCACCCATCTAGGTAATGACCAGGCTCGACATTGCTTAACTTAGATGATATGGGAACTGGTATTTGAACATGATGTGGCCGCAAACCTTAAAAGAATTAAATTATAGATAAAGAATATGAAATTAAGAAAAGAAATTTGCGAAAGAAAAAAAGAGAAAGAGATACTTCTTTGGTGAGGTAACGCCTAGAAAAAAAAATCTCCTCTGCCAACAGAAGGGTAGAAGTAAATGAACCAGGTTGCTTTGCAATGATATAGATGTTTATAAACAAAACAAAACAAAAAAGATGATAGTTTCTTCAAGGCAGCATGTCAATATAAGGTTCCAAAGCTCATCCAATTGTAATAAATATATTCTTGAAGAATTCTGCTTTTTGTGCTTCAAGCTGGAAATCTTAGAAATCTTCAAGTAAATCCTAGAGAATGATTATTATTTAGACATGTCTTTAATATCTATATACATATATAATTACATATAAGATATTGGGGTTTTATTTCTCATGTTTTGTATATTTATTTTAAATATATAAATATAAAATGTGCTTGCAATCTGCACATATCAATCCAAATAAGGATATGTATATTGGAGGATATTTGATGAAGCTACCTTCGCTATTTACAAGGACATAGTAGAGAGGTACTCAGAAATTAATGAATTTCCTACAGTCATAATGGCTGTCTATTATCATTTTCCAAGCACACCTATCTGCTAGGGTGGCTAGCAAATGCCTGTTGCAGACATGTGCTAAGGCACATTTGTGTTTGTTCAACAGTCACAGAACTGACATGTGATTTGTACTACAATTATGACAAGGGAATAGAGCACACAACCCGGCTTTATCAGCAGTTTGAACTGGAAATTTTTTGCAACACACTAACACATATTGAAATACTCACGGTATTTAGTATTTTTGATGAAATTATATTTAAAATAGTGGGAGTATTTTGTATGTTAAATAAAAAAGATTTTAATTTTTCCCAAAAGCAAATGGAAATTTATTGTACTAAGCTACACACCCTAGTAAAACCAACCATATTTTATACCCACTTACTTGTTTGTACTTCTTCCCTAAATTTGGTTTTGATTGGTCAATTTATGTCTATTTTAGGGGGTGTGATGGACAGACTAACAGAAGTCACAGAATTTTATATACAGATAAAATTCTCAGTTAATCCTAACTTGTCATTTTCTCCTAGCAATGGCATTGTTGGCTTCCAAACACTTTCATCTATCCACTTTCACTTACAGAGATTGAGACAACCTATGGTATGGTTTTCAGACATTTTCCAATGATGCTATATGATGTGATCACCTCCCCAGACTGATAACAAAGAAATTACCTTCTTGACTAACCAAGCATGGTGAAATTCAAGCCAGAGCCTCATGGCCAGAAAACAAGCATTCAAACCACTCAACCACATACCCGTAATGATATACTTACTTTTTTTTAAAAAATCAGTATCACCTCATGCAAGGCAATAAAGCCACTATGACACAAGGGGTTACAGAGAGTGGAAGAATTAGGAACAGAAACAATAATGATGAGCGAAAGAAGAGAGTAATCAGGACAGTAGATAGCAATTGACATTGCATTTAAATTTTTGCAGATTAAGGTTGGTTAGAAAGTCATGGAGCCAGAAGAGAGTTCCACAAGTGAGATAAAAAACTGTTAGCATAGAATTTATGACTATAACTACCTAGCTCAAACTGTAAATTGATGAGATCTTGAAGCTACTCTAGTACTGCACTTAAATTAAAAAATCTAGGTACTATAGCAAAGAGGTCACTCAAACAATTACTATGAAAGTATTTATAGAAAAAGCACAGAGAGGCAACCTTACAATAGTGGGGAAGTGACTTAAGTCAAGCTGCCACATCAGAACCAATAATATTGCTGATTCTCCTTTGGATTTTATGAAGAAGCTTGAGGGAAACAGCAAGGGCACCAAACCATATGTGGCAGCAATATTCTAAGCATATTACAAATATATTATGTGAGCTTTGTCTAAATATCTACAGAATGACACATTACACATGTACTTTTTTTACTACTTGCATACAGCCTTAATAAAATAATGGCAAGAAAGAATAGCAATTCATTGGCTGACAGGCCATTTGAAGATATTTCAGTACCAGGGCTATCAGCTCAAATTATCCCCACCAAATATATACTATATAGCCCTCATTATAATAAATGTCAATTATCATCCTCTACATGTCCTTCCCAGCAGCAAGAGGGATAGCAGCCCTGACATTATTTGCAGCATCTTTCATTATTACATTACATTTGTGAATGCTGTTTTAAAAATCTTCATATAGAAACCATGACATTTTATTTCAAGAGGCCGATTTGGAACATTTTTTTATTGCACATGTCATATTTTTGATTGAAGATGTTGCCAGACAGTTCTCATACATGCCTACAGGCCAAAATGACCCAACAGTAATAGAATAATAGAAAGGTTAGAAAAATTTAAGTAGGTTTTTATTTGGCTTCCTCATCTTTTGAAACCAACCCACTTATATATTTCTACAAATAATATCTGCTTGTGTATTTGTTTACAAGTTTTCTGTACCAGAATTTTCTGGCATTAATAATCATTTAGAACATCTGCCTTTTTATGTCATCCTTCATTTTTGTAACCCAAGAAAAAACACAGAGAAGGACTTCATTTTTGCTGACCTGTGTCTTGATGAGTGGGCAATTCAAGAGATCTGAAAAATGTTTGGTATTTCATAAAGGAAATCAAATAATTTTGCTTCTCCCTGCACAAATAATTCAATGAGATCTAGAAGAGGTTTATTATTCAATTGGGTGCAAATTCTAAAATTAAAACATTCATTCTATCCATGTTTTCTTTAAAAAAAAATGTGGCATTCATCCAAGTAATTATTTTGTATTTGGCATATTCATTATATTTTTCCAAGTGTTTAATTTCCACAATTCTATGGCAATTTTTTGTGCTCATGATACTTCAAATTGACCGTTATACATTGTCTTTTATTCCAGGCAAACAAAAATGGCTTAACCTTCCCTCTTCAACATGTCAGATGTACTGTCAATACATTTTCTCTTTTAACAAACACTGAAAACATTCAATGAAAGGAAGGAAAATAATTTGCAGTGCTTGAGCAAGAAAGTAACTCCTTTCTTCATAATCTCTGTTGCTCAGAATGTAACTCATATTAAAAGGAAGAATGGTGGAAAAAACATCAGAATTGAAAAATTGCTTAAAATGTTCTCTTAATCAAAATGTTAATCAACATCTAACGACTGAGATGGAGGGTCTTGTCTACAGAGTTCACCCTCATTAAATTCATTAAAACTTAATTGAAAATTACAAACTTCTAGGAAACATTTTGGACCTGCTCAGCAGAATATTAATATAAAAGATCGAATTACCAATTATGAAGTGACAAACAAGGCTAAAGAGAAATAAAATTAAAATTTAATAATTACAATTAACTTTATTTAATTTAAAACATTTTTAAATTATCACTGCTCCAAACAATGAGTGGGTGGTTATAGTCCCTTTTGGGTGAAGAAAAAGGGTACTTAAACCCCACCCAACACAAAAATAATCATGTAAGTCAGAAGGGAAATAAATACAGACTTTATGTTCTTCAATTTGACTAGTACTGAAAATATTAAACTTTCAATTCAATTTATATGATTAAATGATGTGTTGCTTTCAATTATTATCCACAATGTATTTAATTATAACCAGATGTGAACAACATGAAGCAAATGAGTGAAATACAAAATTTGTCTTCTAATTGTATTAGTTTTTACAATGTTGATTTTTCAGGGTGGGATGTGCGGTTGCTTACAGTGAGGTTCACCTTATGCAAGGCCTGGGAGCCACTTGAGGAAAAAATGTTACAGAGTAAGAGGCTCAGTTTTTTTGTGGATAAGTGGGGAAGATAATGGTTGATCCATGATTTGAACAGGTTAAGACTGCAGTGATTGAGGGAAAAATCTACATGGGTGTCAGTTCCACAAAACAGTGGTTCATGGGAAGTAGCTGCTTGAGTAGAACTTACTTCTCACCCCATAAAATATAGATGAAATGAGGGTGGTTAGATACAATGTGGATAACATGTTGAGTCCTAGCCATGAAGGTTAGAACTGGTGAAAATCAAACCTGTATCCCTTTCTCTATCAGGGAAACCATTTTTATCGCTGAAATATGCCATTACCAATTTCTTTTCTTATACTTCTTGCTTGTGGAACTCTCTTCTGGCTTCTTGCTTTCCAGTTAACTTTAATCTTAAAAATTTAAATGCAATATCAATTGTTATCTACTGTCTTCCTGATGACTTTTCTATTGTCCTCACTGCTTAATAATGCTTCTGTTTTCTAATTCTTCCATACCAAGTAACTCCTTGTGTCATAGTGGTTTTACTACCTTGCTTGGGGTTATTTTGATTTAAAATTTGTACAGATTTGTGTATCATGAATAATTATGAAAATTTATATAAATTAAAATCTGAGAAAACAATGTGTATGTTTTTTTAATATATATATATATATATATATATATATATATATATATATATATATATATATATTTCCTTTTAATCAGTTCCTTCGAAGCAAGGTGATAATGACACATGCAATAGACTACTGGCAATGAAAGAGGATGAGAAAACTTTACAGAAAAAAAAAACCAGAAACCAAATCCTAAACAAGAAACAAGGGACAAATCTCAACTTTTTTTCAAAAGAGCTGAGAAGAGTGTGAATTGAATGATAAACAAACCTACACCTATTGAGGAAAAAATAGATAAAAATAAAGTAAATAAAATTTCTGAGCTCAGATGGAGATGTTGGAAGTATAGAGATGAAGTAAAACCAAATCTAAATAAGAAAACAGGAAGAAAGACCAAGGATCAGTGTAAACCTATCTACTCCTATTAAACAGATATTATGTGATATTTGTCATATTTTTACAAACATGAAAACATCTCATATTTACAGGCAGCTCTCCCAAGTCCTGATGAAAACAATGGAAACTGATAGAAAATAACTATGAATTGAAGAGTTTTAAGGTTAAATATCTGATGAAAACTATTCTATTTCCAG